TTAATTGACTAAGTTTAACTTGGAGCTATGTGAGTGTGTGTGAGTGTGTGTGATAGTTTGTGAGCCTGTGTGTGTGTTTGTGTGTACATGTCTAAGTATGTGTATTCGTCTGACTGTCAGTTTTCATTCTTATTTTAAGATTTTTAGCAATTGTTCAGTTTCTTTATGGTTAAGACAGCTCATGATTTTACTGATTTTCAGTTTAGCGTCCCGTATTGTATCCTGTTTGAAATTATATCTATTGACACCTTATTGTAAATAAATGGAAACATGAACTTTTGAAAGCGATTTGCGAAGGATGATTTGCTTCTAGGAACAGGGACTTTGAAAATTCTTTGCTTGAGCATTTTATTGTAATCAGGGGCGTTTAACACGTTTTTATGTGTGGAAATGATGGCTTGAAATATGTATAATCGTCTTATATTCAATACTTGGGCTTCTTTGTAGAGTTCAGTGGTTGGGAATCTCAACGGTTTATTCAACATAACTTTTAAAATTGATCTCTGAGCCCTTTCTAAGATAATCAAGTGTGTTGCAGCTGAGCCTCCCCAGATATTTAAACAGTAAGTCAGGATGGATTGACACAATGATATATATATCGTTTTTAATAAATGTAAATCAGCAACATCTCTAAGTTGTCTTACAACGTAAATTAGTTTCCTTGCTTTAGCTGCAGTTGCCACGATGTGGTCTTTGTAAGATAGTTTATCATCTAGAATTACTCCTAGATATTTAATGCTTCGTGACCTTTGTATTTTATTACAATCACAAATAGTCTGATCAAAATTACATGTGTGAATTGGAATGTTTGGGCTTAAGGCTGGAGAAGAAGCTGCAGTTTTGTGGTAGCATAAATATTTGGTTTTGCTAGTATTTAAAGTTAATAAATTATTGTGAAGCCATTTAGCTATAATCGCCATACCTTGTTCAGCCGTGGCAAAACAGTTGGCCCAAGTGGAATCATGAAATATTATTGCTGTGTCATCCGCGTAGCAGATCATTTTTGCATTTCTAAGTGGTAAGGTCATCAGGTTATTTATATACAGAAGAAATAGAGTCGGGCCTAACACACTCCCTTGAGGAACTCCAAAAGAAGTTTCCTGCAAGGTACTGTGCAAGGAGTCCACCTTTAAACATTGTTTCCTTTCCGTCAAGTAACTTCGGAACCAGTTTAGCGCGGTTCCCCTTATTCCAATGCCTTCCAATCTCTTGAGTAAGATTGGAATTGCAACAGTATCAAAGGCCTTTGCGAGATCTAAGAAGATTCCGATACACGCAAGGCCATTGTCTAGATTTGTAACAATTTCATTTGTCAATAAATTTACGGCGTCTTCAGTGGACCTTCCTTTCCAAAAACCGAACTGACTATCTGATAAAATATTGATCTTCTCAATGTACTTAACTACACGTTTGTTGACTACTCTTTCTAGTATCTTAGCAAAGACAGAAAGCAAGATAATTGGTCTATAATTGTTAGCCAAATTGGTTTCTCCCCCTTTATGTATAGGTACAACAACAGCAGTCTTCCATTCTTGAGGAACGATTCCGGTTGATAAACTTTGGTTAATAATATAGGTTAGCGGTTCCACAATATGATTCTTGACTTTTTTTATGAGTCGGTTAGTAACTCCATCTAGTCCTGGGGCACTGTCATTCTTTAGATTCATAATGATGTGTTCTATTTCTGTATTATCAGTTGGTTTGAAGAAGAATGAGTTTGGAGGAGATGGTGAAGTGTCGATATTTTGTGCCAAAGCTGATTGTGTTGTATTTAGATTGTTTAAAATATCGTTAGCGTATTTTTGTCCTACCGATGTAAAATATTCATTACAAAGATTTAAGGAGTCTTGCGGACAGGCATTTAAAAGTATTAGATCTGGCGCAGGTGATTTCGTTACTACTTTTCTATGCGAGATTTTATTAATAGTCTGCCAGAGTTGTCGTGGTTGATTTTTCGAGTTTTTCAGCAATGTACATTCATAGTCATTTCGTATTTTACGAATTAGAGAGTTATAAAAATTTCTATACCTGAGATATATCAGTGATTTCACTTCGTTTCTTGGCATTTGTTTAGCCTCGAGGTGTAATTTATCACGAACACGTGAGCATCTTAGCAACCCTTCCGTCATCCACGGCTTAAGAATAATCTTTGAGCGACTTATTCTAATTAATTTAGTGTTGTATTTGATTATATTGTTTATAATATTCATAAAATGTTCTGTTTGGTCAGCCACATTCTGTATCTTCATCACCTTAGACCAATCTACATTGCTGAGCTTTTCTGAAATGGAGTCGTAGTTAAGGAGGCATTTATACCTTGGAGGTGATGTTGATTTTGTGGCCGTTGCTGTTAGACCAGTAATGACAAGGTCGTGGTCAGATATTGCTGAAGAGCAGACTATAGTCTCCACATCCACCTCTCCCTTATAGAATACGTGATCAAGGCAGGAATCATATCGAGTGGGCTTATTAATAGCTGGCACTAGGCCTAGTTCAGCCATAGTGCAAAGGTATGTTGTGGTATCGTTGCCTTCTAAATAGGATATATTTATATTGATATCGCCAGTAAATAGTCATTGTTTTCGCCAACATTCACTAAGCGACCGACCGGTTTCTTCACGAGTGATACCATTTAAGGTCATAAAGCTGTAATTCATAGTTAAATATGTGTATATTACAAATTCTACAGGGTACATTTAAATGTTAACTGACAAAAACAGAACACAGTGTGACATGAAATAATTAATACAATAATTTCTCAGATTAAATTACCGGAATCTGTAGTTGCCAGACCCATCATTGGTATTTTCGTACCCAAAAGTCTCGCTATCATTAGCAGCAACCACAAATACAACACACACGGCTATAACGAAGAACATGTTAACTTGTAGTACTACAACTAATGTTAATGCAATATTTATCTAATATATAGGTGTAAATTATAAGCATTAAAAAACTTAAGGTTAAACTTGAGGTTTTAACTTTAGTTAAAACCTCAGCCTTGACTTTTGTCTGAAGTTGGCAAAACATATTATACAATTGTATAGTGGTAATAACAGTTTATTAGGATCATAATTATATTATGCATTTACCCCCATTTACAAAAGGAAGACGGTGACGGATTAAGAATACGGAGTGTCACCACCCCTATTCATCCCATGGGTGTCGTAAGAGCCGACTAAGGGACCAAACTACACATGACAACAAACACTGCAAAGAGAAGGAAAAATCCTTTTTTTTTTTTTTTTTTTTTAACGTGTGGTAATCCCCTCGGACCGTCACCCCACCGGGGTTTGCGGCGGGGTGGTGTGTCGGACTCGGACCGACTTAACCACGCGGTGTGCCACTCTGCGCCTGTAATAGGAGGGATCCGGGAACAGCTGTTATTAAGACATCCGGACCCCTCCTAGCGCCGGCCCGCTCCTGTTGCGGGCCCCGTCTCAAAATTTTCCTCTCTTCAGGCGACGTCCGGCACACGCGGACGCCGCCCCCTCGCGGCTGGCCAAACTAATGCGGGTGGAGGGGAAACCCACCCCGTCCACCCGCGGCCACACTCAGGGCGGCATGAGGCGGTGATAGGCGCGCCTCCGCCGCCCTGTTCGCCGGCGGCGGATCGGGTCCGAGTGGAGGTCGTCCTCCCGGGCCTTCTCCGCCGCCTCCTTCTGCGAGATTACTTCCTCGCAGAAGGTTGCGACCGCGTTAAAACAACTGTCGCTACCGGCCATGTAGCGTACTACGGCCGGTAGCGAGAGATCCACTCCGATGACTGCAGTGAGGGCCCGGCGCTGCGTCGCCCATGCGGGGCAGACCGCCAGCGTGTGCTGGGCCGAGTCCTCACTGCAGTCGCAGTGGTGGCAGGCGGGACTCAGTTCCCTCCTAGCGACCGAGTGCAGGTACTTTCCGAAGCAACCGTGCCCGGAAAGCACCTGCGTCAGCCGGAAGGTAAGGGTCCCGAGCTGCCGCCCTGCCCACTCGGCGATGACCTGCTGGAGAGCCTCCACGGCGGCGGAGCCAGCGCGTGGAGTCTCCAGCCGGAACGACCAACGAGCCATCGTGGCTCGGCGAGCGGCTTCGCGCCACTCGCGCACGTCTTCGGGCGGAGGACGATCTCCGCTCTCCGCCCGGGAGTCAGCCACTCGCCGATAAACATCGGCGAGCACTTCCGCCTCCAAATCCCACGGGGGAGTTCCGGCAAACGCGCACGCCACCTCCGTCGAAACGGTGCGGTAACCGCGTATGGCTCTGACCGCCATTACCCTCTGAGGGCTCAAGAGGCGTGCACTATAAACTTGTTACAATCCTATACCAACCCGTCTAGCCAGCGTGGTATTGTAGGCCAAAACCTCCTTTTTAAGAATAGGTTATATGTCCAGCAGTGGACTATTAAAGGTTGTTGATGTGACCCCCACATAAACGGATGCCCACGGGATGAGTAGGGGTGACAACCGTTTTAATCTGTCACCGTCGTCCGTTTTTCTATCTAAAAACGATTAGATTTGCAATGAGGGCTGGCACCAGGCAGGCAGCCGGCAAAAATTATTTTCCAATGTTACACATGGTACGACCCTAAATAAAATGAGTTGAACGAATTGTACACTAGTCGATTACCAAAATAGTTTAGACCAAGTAATGGTTTAAATCCAACAGAAATTTATTTGTACAAAACAGTGATTGCAGAAACTAAATTAAACGATGTAAAGGAAAAAGGGATAAAAACATACACGAAATGAAAATAAAAAAAGATTGGAGTAGGATCCATAATTAATTATGTGAACATTTGTATTCTATGTACAAAGATAAACAGCCACAACAAACAAATAAGCTGTTTATCATCATGTCATAGTTAAAGTCATCGTACAGTTAAAGTTGGTTTACGGTAGTCATACATTTTGTATGGATAACTTATTGTTGTAAATATAAACAAAATAAATACTGTTTTCTTATTTTGCTTCTGTGATGTTGTATCGTATCATTTTCTTATTTTCCAAGTAATGATGTCACTACATTACCAGGTAATGTAAGCTGTAACAGAAAAATATTTTAAATAAATAATTAAATATTTCGGACAAACAGCACACGACGCCATCTATTTTCAAGTAAAGCAGAGCTTGTTCTATAAAAGTTTGATTGACAGATAAAATACTTATACACTTTTCTTGTAAATTGTAGATAGAAAACACCCAAACTCCGAAACAAATATTTGCAGATCATACATACAAACATTTGGTCCGACCCAAGCATTGAACTTGTGACCACAGCAGTCACATACGCTACTATTTTACAATATACTATATTATAATACAATTAAATATTTTAGTATGACTTATTTTATGTTTAAAAATGTCCGAGCAGATTTTTTAACACCAATGTATGTTAATAATGTAAACGCTTAATAAAAATGTCCAAGCATATAAAAAATTCACATTAATTAATTTGTAGCTCCGCTCGCGTGTATATCGGCTATCGTAGTAAAAAGTAAGTAAGAGTAAGTAAGTAAGTAAGTAAAAAGTAGTAGTAGTAGTAGAAAATGTAGCTTTCCATTGGTAAAATAATTTTTAAAATCGGTTTAGTGGGTTAGGCGTGGCGTTTAATGTGGGCAAAAGCTAGTACTTAAATATTTCTAAATACATACATGCTATAGATAAATTACATCCACACACAGAACGAATGATCGTGTTCTTCACACAATTATTTGTCCTGGATGGGAATCGAAGCCACGGCCTCTGGCATTAACATGAAATGTATTTTTAAATCTAGTTTACGAGTATACTTACAACTTATAAAGGAAATTCGACTTCGAACCAATAATACGATATCCATTTTCGTCAGCAGTATATTTGACAATTACATCTCTTCCATCGGGGTCGTTATCAAAGTAAGAACCCTCAACAGCAATATGATCATTGTTTTCGACGATATTCACTAAGCGACCAGTTTCCTCGCGAGAAATACTATTCAAAGTTAAGAAGCTGTAATCATTATGTGTGTATGTATATATTTTAATATTTTCATATTGCATTCTCGATAAGAAAGATAAATAGTTTGAAAAATGGATTTAAAAAAATAAATTATTACATTATTAAACAGGCATAAAAATCGATAACATAAAAAAATAACAAGTATAATATATCATACTTGAACGTCTACTAGTTGCCAGAACCATCATTGGTGTTTTTGTAGTTTAAAATCTTGGTTTCAGCAGCGACTACAGAAAGTAAGACACAAGTGACTATAACAAAGAAAATTTTAACTATTACAAATCTTAGTAACGCTTCAGTAATATATATGTAGGTATATTAGCATTGAAAAAGTTAAGGTTTTTACCAAGTTTATTTTAGTACAGTTTTAAAGTACGGTAATAACGTATTATGATTATTAAGTATAAGGAATCTGAGTACTCATAAGAACATTCAAATAGTATTAAAAGCGTCTTAATCTTCAGGCCTTTTATAACCTCATCAATTCTTTAATACTGGTCAGAGTGTAAACTGGTTGTATTAGGTTATTATAAATGTAAAATATACCTATTAAAAAATTCGTATTCGTATTTCGAATTCAAAGTAATTTTATAATAAGTATACGTATTTTTCTGGAAGAATGATGGTGATTTATAGATTTTGAAATTAGCTAATTAATAAAGATTTTTATAAACAAGCTTTATTTATATGGCAAAGAAGGAAATACGTTTTGAATTCAAACATTTAATATTAAATATGAATATTAATACCTTATACAACTTCTTACTATTTTATATTCTATAGCAACTTGTCGACTTAACTTTGCGATATCATGTTTAGTATACAATAAGGCTGCCAAATCCTTAGCGCCTCACTAAGACTTTGCGCCATTTATTTTAGTAGTAGTTTAAGCAGAAACAAGCTGGAAGCTTGCTTCTGCTTAAACTACAATTTGTTTCAATGACTTATTTTACATAGTTATGGAATGTAAAGCTATCACAACAACTTTTTGTGGATAATAACGGTGTCGTAGTAAGGTAACCAGTACTACAATTGATCACAATTCATCATTTATATAAGAAGGTGTAAAAAAAACATGCTTGTACTGTTGATTGTTGAGGATCATCGCATTTAGATCTAATACTTGTAATAGCAGCCAGGTTATAATAAACTTTAGAACAGTCTATCATAGTGTGCATATAATATATAGTTTCATGTCTGTACGATTGACAGTTGAAGGGCTCCGGCGTCAGGTGCCAATCCTTGACGCGACAGCCAGATCTTTACAGACTAGTCTTTTATAATTGAGTCTGCATATAAAATTCTGTGTCTGTACAATTGATACTTATAAAATTTTTGTCGGAGCTGAATCTGGGTATAGCAGCCAAGCGATACTAATCTTTACTACCGACTCAAAATTTAATAATGATTTCTGTACGATTAGTAGTGTGGTATTCTTAAGCCTTTCCTGGAAATCGTTTCAGGTCGTACTTAATGTAAGGATAAATGATGAAGTAAATTGAACTTGTTTGATTTTTGAATTTTTAAACATTTTGAATAACCGTTTTCATTTTTAATCTTTGTTCGTGCTAAGATCTGTTCATTATTTTGTTGCTATAACGTCTTGTGTATTTGAAAAAAATATTGTTACTTGTTTTTAAAGGCGGATACAGATATTGCGAGGCATGTGCAGTGAATGGTTCTCATAACAATGTCTGGACGTTCATAGTCGTGGCGAGGCATGTGTTACGCAATGTGAGGGCGAGCCAGCGTATGTCGGCAAGCGCTCCACGATCAGAGCATGTGGACGTAGGCAGACACTCACTACAGACTACTCACGAAAAATGAACCTATTCGAGGTAATTAGCTTATGCTAGGATCGATCCAGCCAACACAACATAATCAGAATGGCACCACCGCATCGCGTACTTACGTTTATTCAATTATTGAAAAAAAAAAGAAAAGAAAAAGACCTTGGCTTCGTGTGTAACATACGCCTTACCGCAATTGAAGGTACGCGCATTGCTAGGCTAGGTAGATGGACCCGAGCATGCGTCAGTCGACCTGTGCATACGCTGGTTTTATTTTTACTCGAGGCAATAGTGCGGCGCATGTCTCGCAATGTCTGCATCCTCCGTAAGAGTTACAGAGTACAATTGTTCAGCTTAAGAAAATAAGGTCGGCTTATGGCATATCATCTGCTATATATTTTTATAGCTTTTTCAGTTTCAATTCTGACTAACCTTTTTTTTAACTCAATTAGTTCCTTACTATGCAACATAAAGAACTAATGTAACGGTACTATTAACAGTTTTTTTGCTTTAAATATTGACTTTATCTACTCAAATTTAATGCTTACCTATTATTTTTTATGTATGGTCTTAAATCTGACTGCTGTTATGTTCCCTGAATATAAATAATTACAAATAAGTAATTGCTTAAGAAGAAAACTTTGTTAAAAAATGAATGGCCAGCATCCTTCTGGACTGAATTGCCATGTTAGGCGGCTGTGTAATACTATATGATACCTAACTCTATCAACAAAGTCGTGATGCTTCTTGTTAGAATGAGATTAGACTGACACCATACTTACATATTGTTTAGGGATTATTACAATCGTAACAATATAATCTATTGTGATGTATATTATTGTTATATTAATGTGTATTATTGTATATCGTTGACTTTCTAAATATGCAAGTAGTCCTGACGTACAATTTCATCCAACGAAACTTACTTTTATAAAATATTGGGTAATGGTTCACTTAACTAAGGTCACGCTAAGTTTGCAATAGGATTTTAATACAAATAAAAACTACCTGTTTAATATAATAATAAATAAGAAGGAAAGACAACAAAACAGTACCTATACATTTATTTTCTTCATAGTTTGAGATGGGTGTTATTAGTTCACTTTCCTAACAATGTTGCCACGACGTTTGCTGGGAGGCTGTAGGAGACTTGCTGAAAAATAAATAACACAATAGAATAAATTTTTGAAAGCTGAAAAAGTAATTATTATTAATGTTATTCAATTAGAGAAATATGCTTTGCATCATTGTTTCTTAATTTACTGTCAGTAGCATTGTTATGTTACGTACGAATTATTAATGTTATACCGTAACAATTTCATACTAGTTGCAACATACGATAATAATATGAGTCTCACTAAAAATGACTTCTCTAAAAAAGTAAAACCTCATCAACAGCCTTTAGTAGTCCACTGCTGGACATAGGCCTCTCCTTAGAAAGGAGGTTTTGGCCTACTATACCACGCTGGCCAGACGGGTTGATATAGAGTTTGTTTCAAGTTTTTCTTCTCTTGGCAGTGCTGTTGTCCAACATAGTTTGCACTCTTAGTCGGCTCTTACGACACACAAGGGATGAATAGGGGTGGTGACACTCCGTATTCTTAATCCGTTTGTATCGAAATCCTTGACATCGATATATGGAGTAAAATCCAGTTTCGGGGTCATTGAGAGGGTAAGGTCAAATTAGACTCGAAGAAGCTCGGTGTGCTAAACAGCTCGAGGCAGTATTTCATTCCGGCCCACCTCTAGCGCTTTCATTGCCTTCAGCTCTATAAGGCGCAAGTCCGGCCGCATATGGAATACTGTTCTTATCTCTATGCAGGGACACCTCAGTATCAGCTTCTCCCTCTGGACCGCATCCAACGAAGAGCGACTCGAATCGTCGATATCACAAAGATCTCCGATAGGCTCGATCCCTAGGTGTTACGTAGAGATGTGGCTTCACTCTGCATTCTCTATCGTATATATCATGGAGTGCTCTGAGGAATTGTTGGGACTAGTACCGGCCGCAACTTTCCACCATCGTTCCACACGGAAAATTGTTCATCCCCATCACTTGGATGATTGGCGCCCCGCTACTGTGTGCTTTACAAGACACTTTTTACCTCGCAAAACTAATCTGTGGAACAAGTTATCGTCTGCGGTATTTCTGGACCGATACGACCTTCAAACCTTCAAGAAAAGAGCGTACTCCTTCCTTAAAGGCCGGCAACGTGTTTATTACTTCTGAGTTGCAGACGTTCATGGTCGGCAATAGTCCCTTTCCATCAGGTGGTCTGCTTTCTCTAACATAAAAAACAAATTTAAGTTTCACTTAAATAAATGTCCAGCTACACGTCATTTGAAATGAATGAGTCGTGCTATCTAGATCGATTGTTATGATTTATTTGATCAGCTCAATTCCGAATTTCACTCTCTTAGGCTCCCCTTGTAACTCTTTTAGGCGCAAGTCCGGTTGCATATCGTATACTGTCTTCATCTCTATGTAGCGGCACCCCAGTACCAGCTTCTCCCTCTGGACCGTATCCAAAGGTGTGCGACTCGAATCATCGATAGTAAAAATATCTCCGATCGCCGTGACCTCTTGACACAGACCGCAGCTTTCCGCCGTTGTTCCACCCGACCAAACCTTCATACCCAGCACTTTCAAGAAACTATTTGTCTAGCACAACTTATCTCTGTAATAAATTAGCGGCTGTGGTATTTCAAATTTTAAGGCCGTAACGACTTTCAAACCTTCAAGAAAACAGCTTGTTCCTCGTACTTCTCAAAGACTGGTAACGCATTTGCGACTCCTGAGTTGCAGGTGTTCAATGGAGACGGTACTCACTTTCCATCAACTGACCCGTCTGCTCATTTGCTCCCTATATCATTGAAAAATTAAAGAAACAGACAATTTATAAATGAAATTCAAACGTTTTATATGGCAATACCAATAAATAAAATCACTATAACACAGGAGAACAACAATTTTCTCACATAATGTTAGCCTCAAAAAACAGTGTAGAACTAACGGACTTTGGAAAATGGAGCCAGAAGCCAAATCAAAAAGACTAAGAAAATTAGAGTTAAGATAATAGTTTAACTAAACTCATATTGCTGAAGAAGTATAAGATAGCTAAGTTATTTATAGACATTTCTACGTTGAAACATTTTAATAAAGCAAATTTGTTAAATGGCGAATAATAAATAACCTCTCGTCCTTTCGTTGTTTGATCTTTGATCTTTAATTTTATAAAAATAGCAATAAATTTGAAATGATCTTATATTATTGATAATGTCAGTAATGAAATAAACATTATAATCGCCTACGTAATTTCAATATATCTATACTAATATTATAAAGCTGAAGAGTTTGTTTGTTTGTTTGTTTGTTTGAACGCGCTAATCTCTGGAACTACTGGTCCGATTTGAAAAATTCTTTCAGTGTTAGATAGCCCATTTATCGAGGAAGGCTATAGGCTATATATAATCACGCTAAGAGCAATAGGAGCGGAGCGCCAATGAAGAATGTTTCAAAAACGGAGAAAATTTATTACTATTGAGAGACGCAGACGAAGTTGCGCGGGTCAGCTAGTACTATATAAATTTATAACTCCATGAGTGATTTAAGCCGTAAATTAGCAATATTTCCATCAATCTTTGATTTCCATTGGCATACAAATAGTTCAAGGCAACTTTATAAAGTAGTTATGAATTATCTCGCTTATAAAGTAATAATATAGTGAATTTGTTACGCAAGCATTTATCTTAATAAATGAATTATTTTATAAATGTACTAGCGATCCGCCCCGGCTTCACACGGGTGCAATGTAAATACTACTAATACTACTAACGTGGCGTCAGTGTGGAGTAATTAATTTGTACTTTATGATAGGACTATATACTACAGGACATCTTTAAACGCAATATTTAAAGGCCCGCCGCTGCAACCCGGGACGGACGTACGGCTCGACAGTCGTTGTATTTTAAACTTCTAATATCTCTTAATTTTATTGATACGCTGTTAAGAGCAATTGTAATCTACTTTAAATGCACAACGTATCTAACGTATTTGATTGGATAAGGAATAATAATGCATTGTTTATAATGAGTTCGTAACTAACCCATTTTTGTTTGTAATTTTTTTTTTTTTTAATATATTTTTTTGTAGATCTTCTTAAGATTTACAATTCCATAGTACATTATTTTGGTATATCAAACAAAAACATGTTTTTACGACATCATCATTATCACATCAACAGCCTATAATAGACCACTGCTGGACATAGGCCTCTTCTTAGAAAGGAGGTTTTGGCCTACTATACCACGCTGGCCAGACAGGTTGGTATAGGGTTTGTGCTTTTCTTTCTCTTTGCAGTGCTGTTGTTCTGCGTAGTTTGCTCCCTTAGTCGGCTGTGACGACACCCACGTGTGGATTCACGACAAATCTTTGAAATTCGGGTTTTGTCGTAAAAACAAAAAGCCTCTAAGAAAATACGAATAAGGAAAGTTTGCTATTTAATTCTTGTGTATTTTTTAATGTTTGACGCACCAAACTCCTCATTGCACATCAGTTTATATATTTATAAGCTCCGGTAGTGTGATCACCAACGCTAACAATTATTTGGGTTCCAAACATCTTTCGTAAAAATAAATATAAAACTTTCTTGAGGTGAATAATTAGTATTATTTCCATTTGTACATTTAAATCACCACGCCGTCCGTAGAGTAATTAATAGTACTTACTGATATAAATTCAGGTGGGTTGACTTGAAAACCATTCTCATCACCAGTGTATTTGACATATACTCGCTGACCGTTTACGTCAGTGTAGGAATAAGAGCCTTTGACTACCATATGCTGATCCTCTTTGCCAACGTTCACCAAATATCCAATTTCGTCACGAAATATTCCATTGGAGGTTTCATAGCTGTAACCAATACACTCAACAAATTTACATGGGTAATCATTACTAGTAATGTGTAACACTCGTCACTAAGTTTTCTTTTGAGACTTGCGAATTTAATATTTACGTGCAAGTTTAAGAAGTAGTTTCCCGTTTTTGATAATGATTGCGAGAAATCAATCTTCTCAATCAATCAATCGAGAAATCAAGTGAATCTATAGATTTTATTATGTTTTATTTTAGTCATGTATGTTCTTTACTTAAAACAAAATCATAAAACGTGTTAAATATTAAACAATGATTTCACCTTAATTTTGTTTTAACTTTTGTTATCAATTTAATAAACAGAGTAGTTTAAAACCCAGTTATTTCGTTTTCTACAGTTTGTTACTACATTTTTGCTATCAAGTTGTACACTGATAGAACTATACACTAACAGAATACACTTTATAAACTGTATTCTGTAAATAGAACTGATGAATATTTGATCTCATTCAAATTATTATTATTAGGTTCCTAGAAATGATTATTCAACAAAAGTTAAAAATTATCATATGTTCTACAGTTCCTACAGTTTGCTTATCTGTGTGTTTTTACCTTTCGCTGAAATTAAATCAAGTATTTTTACATTTTTAAGCTTTAAGAAAGAAAACAAAAGGACCAACACCAGGAGTATATTCTCCATATACTCCTAGTGTTGGTCATATTAGTTTACTTTGCGGACTTTGAAAAAAAGAATACTTAAATGATTCAAAATAAAATAAACAGTATCAGTGTAACTTTCTGATACAGTGACAGTACCACTATGCATTTCATACTTCCATACCATATTATTGGTAGTTTAAATTAATTCTATACCAGCTGTACCCCTCTATGCGTCGCAGTGGCACATTTTGGTTGGATTGATGATAAATAAGGAACAAAACTGATGCGAAAAACAAAAACATACACAAACCAACTTAACATTTTTATACGTATATACACTGACATTTTTAATAGCCAAATTACCTAAATCTGTAGTTGCCGGCACCATCGTTTAAATTCTCATATTTCACAATTTTCGCTTGTGCCTCATCAGGAACAATAGCAGACGAAGCAAGTGAGAGCAGACCGCACAATACAACAACACAGTTCATTATGACAAAGTTATTTTTACATAATTTACAAAAAAATAATATTCAAGACATTGTTGTCAATAGGCAGTATTCTTGCTAGCTTTAAAACAAAAATCCGTCAGTTTCAAAACCTTCTGCTTATATATAGCTCTTTGAGGATAATTATAGCGTACTATACTGTCGTGCTATTAGACTGAGTTGTTAGAGTTTATATGTCGGAATGGAAGGCGCTGGCTGATACAATGCTTGCATTAGTATAGGTAATAATTGTCATTTAATACATTTAATTACATAAATACATGCGAAATAATCATTGTTAAACTGTTTGTAAAGAAATACAGTTAAAAAAAGAAAAGGATTTCCGTGTTAAAGAATATAGCTCAACACCATATTAATATTTAATCTACATATTTACCCTATGAGTGTTTGAAAATATTGAATTTTCTACGTTAACCGGATTAGAACAAAAGATAAAAGATAGGGTTTTGTACAAACTAAGTAGTAAGTTAAGTAGAAAAAACAGTTTATAAAAATAATAATTCATCATAAGCCTTTAATAGTCCACTGCTGGACATAAGCCTCTCCTTAGAAAGGAGGTTTTGGCCTACTATACCACGCTGGCCAGACGGGTTGGTATAGGGTTTCGACGTGGGGGCTGGTCGCTGTCGCGATGCGATTACGCATATCTGCGATGCGGCCATGCCCCGCATTCGAGGTCGTCGGCCTCCAAGGAAGGAGGTCTACTGGTGGTCCCAGGAGCTGGCGGACCTCCGTGCGGCCTGTACACGTGCCCGGAGGTCCTACACGCGCAGTCGGAGGCGTCACCGTGGAGACGGTGAGGAGGACCGGCTTCATGAGGAGTACCGACAGGCGCGGAAAACTCTGAAGCTGGCCATTAGCCGCGCCAAAGAAGAAAAGAGACAGGAGATGCTGGAGGGTCTTAATCGTGACCCCTGGGGTCGCCCTTACCGCGCGGTGCGACAAAAGCTCCGCGCGTCGGGCCCCCCCCTTACGGAGACTCTCCAGCCCAACTTCCTGCGAGAAGTGGTTGAGGGCCTTTTCCCACAACGAGCGGAACACACTCCCCCGGCGATGGCTTCCTTGGCCGGAGACGACGGGGAGCACGGGGAGGATAATGTTCCGCCCATCCGGGATTCGGAGGTAGGGGCGGCTGTTCTACGGATCCGTTCCAAGAACACCGCCCCTGGGCCAGACGGGGTACCGGCCCGAGTGCTGGCCCTGGCCCTCAACCACATGGCAGACCGCCTCGGGGAGGTGTTCGACGCTAGCTTGGCGTCGGGACGCTTCCCTGAGTGCTGGAAGAGCGGGAAGCTGGTTCTATTAAGGAACCCGGGACGGCCTGCCGATTCGGTCGCGGCCTATAGGCCCATCGTGCTGCTGGACGAGGCGGGTAAATTGTTCGAGAGGGTTCTTTCTGCCCGCATCGTCCGGCACCTCTGCGAGGTGGGCCCCGATCTGTCGGACGCCCAATTTGGTTTTCGGGCGGGGCGTTCGACAGTCGACGCCGTGTTGCGCCTGAGGGCCGTGACCGAAGAGGCCGTGAGCTGTGGCGGCGTGCTGTTGGCGGTGTCATTAGACATCGCCAACGCATTCAATAGTCTGCCATTCAGCTGCATCAGGGAAGCACTCCACTATCATGGGGTGCCAAAGTACCTGAGGCGGCTAGTGGCAGACTATTTAGAGGAGCGTACCGTCGTGTACGAGGACCGAGAAGGTAATCTGAGGTGTCGGCCCATGTCGTGCGGTGTTCCACAGGGATCTGTTCTTGGACCCCTCTTGTGGAACATAGGGTACGACTGGGCCCTTCGCGCCGATTTCCCCCCCCGGGCTGGGTGTAATCTGTTACGCAGACGATACCCTGGTGACAGCCCGGGGGGCAAACTTCCAAGAGGCGCGCCGCCTCTGGCCACAGGGGGAGTCTCCCTGGTGGTCGGGCGCATTGAGGCGCTGGGCTTACGGGTGGCCCTAGATAAGACGGAGGCCCTGTTATTTCATGGGCCCCGTCGTGGTTCACCCCCTGGCGCCTCAATCGTGGTCAACTCGGTCCTCGTACCGGTTCGGGCCCAGATGAAATATCTGGGCCTGATCCTCGACGGGAGGTGGCTCTTCGTCGAGCACTTCCGACAGCTTGCTCCAAAGCTGGTCGGCGCTGCGTCTGCCCTAGGGCGACTTTTGCCCAATATGGGTGGACCCAGCGTCGCGACAAGACGGCTGTACACGGGGGTTGTCCGGTCAATGGCACTGTACGGTGCACCGGTGTGGGCGGCGGCTCTGACCGCCCAGAATAGGGTACGCCTCTGGCGCCCTCAGAGGGTAATGACGGTCAGAGCCATACTCGGTTACCGCACCGTTTCGACGGAGGTGGCATGCGCGTTGGCCGGAACTCCCCCGTGGGATTTGGAGGCGGAAGTGCTCGCCGAAGTTTATCGGCGAGTGGCTGACTCCCGGGCGGAGAGCGGATTTCGCCCTCCGCCCGAGGATGTGCGCGAGTGGCGCGAAGCCGCTCGCCGAGCCACGATGGCTCGTTGGTCGTTCCGGCTGGAGACTCCACGCGCTGGCTTCGCCGCCGTGGAGGCTCTCCAGCCGGTCATCGCCGAGTGGGCAGGGCGGCAGCACGGGACCCTTTCCTTCCGGCTGACGCAGGTGCTTTCCGGGCACGGTTGCTTCGGAAAGTACCTGCACTCGGTCGCTAGGAGGGAACTGAGTCCCGCCTGCCACCACTGCGACTGCAGTGAGGACTCGGCCCAGCACACGCTGGCGGTCTGCCCCGCATGGGCGGCGCAGCGCCGGGCCCTCACCGCAGTCATCGGAGTGGATCTCTCGCTACCGGCCGTAGTACGCTCCATGGCCGGTAGCGACAGTTGTTTTACCGCGGTCGCAACCTTCTGCGAGGTAGTAATCTTGCGGAAGGAGGCGGCGGAGAGGGCCCGGGAGGACGACCTCCACTCGGACCCGATCCGCCGCCGGCGAACCGGGCGGCGGAGGCCCGCCTATCACAGCCTCATGCCGCCCTGAGTGTGGCCGCGGGTGGACGGGGTGGGTTTCCCCTCCACCCGCATTAGTTTGGCCAGCCGCGAGGGGGCGGCGTCCGCGTGTGCCGGACGTCGCCTAAAGAGAGGAAAAAAAATATTGAGACGGAGCCCGCACCAGGAGCGGGCTGGCGCTAGGAGGGGTCCGGATGTCTTAACAACAGCTGTTCCCGGATCCCTCCTGTTACAGGCGCAGAGTGGCACACCGTGTGGTTTTAGTCGGTCCGAGTCCGACACACCACCCCGCCGCAAACCCCGGAGGGGTGTAGGTCCGAGGGGATTTCCACACGTTAAAAAAAAAAAAAAAAAAAAGGGTTTGTGTCAAGTTTTCCTACTCTCTGCAGTGCTGTTGTTCTGCGTAGTTTTTTCCCTTAGTCGGCTCTTACGACACTCACGGGATGAATAGGGGTGGTGACACTCTGTATTCTTAATCCGTCACCACAAGGACCAAAAATAATAATTGAAATAGTACATTTTTACAACCTCAGATTTTTTAAGATAAATAGTATCACTTTACACCAGGAAAAGGGTCTTACTCTATAAACTTAAGTTTTGCTCTATAAACCTGAAGTAATGCTATTTGATCCCAAGTTAAGATAACTGTATGTAACAGAAATCTTATATTTGTTTATTTTTTTCTTTTGAGTCTTCAACAAAAAGATAATATATACATAGTAATATCACAGTATACGAGTATAATTACCATTAATAGTGCCATGTACTGCCTCAATTACAGGAGACTACAGCATGCAAACTAAAGTAGCAACAAGCACTTACATACTAGGCACAAAAACTTAAATGTTACAAAATTAAAAAATAAAATTACATGATAACAGCGTAAATAATATTAAACAAAAAAAATAACAGTTAATTAAGTTTTAAGTTATTGTTGTCTAAAAAACCTAAGAAAAATAATATTTAAGCACCAGATAAAGAGAGATAAGGAAACAACAGCTACACAATATTTCTCTTAAGGTTTTTCTTTACGTTAAATAAGATTTAGTGAGATCTATACTCATTATATAAATATATTGGTTGTGTATTAATTGTCTAAAACCAGCTATTGATGTGCAAATGATACTATTTTTAACCGACTTCCAAAACACAAAAGAGGAGGTTCTCAATTCGTCTGTTTTTTTTTTTTATGTATGTTTGTTCCCCGATTTCTTCGTCAATTGTGGACCGATTTTCAAAATTCTTTTGTAATCGAAAGGGTATGCTCCCGAAGTGGTCCCATTACCACCAATTCAGGATCTGATGTTGGGATCCTAGAGAAATCGAGGGAAACCCTCACAATTATTGGGAATTTGACAGCCCCGACAACGTGTTTTAGCTACGAGTATTTTTTTAGCCAAACAAACCATGGCAATCGTCAGAGACTGCGCGATGTGATGCGCAGAGAACTTGCAGTATTTATGTCACCACAGTAATTTTCGTTGTATTAAGAAGAAAAGGTTGAAATTTTGTTAAAATAATTCGGATAGACGTTTTGTTGCTATGGATGGCATCGCATTTCGTTTGTAAGTAATTTTATACTTAATTTATTAAAGTTGTTCTGGAAAAAACTCTTAAATTTTGTGTGGGTCAACTTTCTAAGGAGAGGCCTATGTCCAGCAGTAATTTAATATAATATTTAATATAATCTAACAAACTACAGTTTGTTACTATACATTACGGTACGTAGTGTTTTAAATATCGTACTTATCTACTCATTACAAACATATCCTACATTAAAAATGGTAAAATAAACCCTTTTAAAAAAAAAGTTGAACCGACTTCAAACAACACCGACAAAGAGCACTAAAAATTAAAAAATAATTACAAATCTAAGTAAAAAACTATAATAAGTACCCTCAATGTAACAGGTAACATTATAATACCAATAGTCCCTTCTAGTCTGGAAGATTTCTATCAAAGAGTTTATAAGCCTACAATTTAAAATTCATTAAACCTTCAATATTGACCTCGAAACGCTGCATCTCTATCACGCGTATGACTCATTAATTCATAACAACTTTGATTGTGCCTTCAAGGCTATTAGCTACATTGGACGTCCTTACTCATTGACACATCGAATTCTTAATCCGTGTGGTGACGGATGAAGAATACGAAGTGTCACTACCCCTATTCAACCCGTGGGTGTCGTATGAGCCGACTAAGGGAACAAACTAAGCAGGACAACAGTTCTACAAAGAGAAGGAAAACTTGAAACAAACTTGAAATATTTTTTTCAATGTCAATTACAGGCATATTTTTAGTGCGTATTCAAATTTTTTTTCTTCTTTAATTACTTCTCGCTTCAAACGAAACTAATTTGTAATTGTTTCGTGACTGATTTTGGTTTTGCGTCTAAAAAATATTATAGGTAATAAAACTCTTGTAACGTGGTCAATTTATGAAAACCTTGACTGCACTTCAATCAGCTAAAAACTATTAATATTATTACTATTAAACATTTAGAGGAGGGTAGATTATCTTTGACTTTATCAACTTCGAAGTGTATTCAAAAAAAAATCTTCCCTATGGGTTGCAAAATAATGTGTAACGATTTACAGAGAATAAAACCAATATAATTTTTGATTGAGTTTGGGCATATAATGAATTATAGTAAAAATAAATATCTTCATTAATAAAAAGTTATTGCTATTTAAAAGATATTACAAAAAGTAAAGCAGGACAAAACTTTTGGCGATCTTATTAAACCATGGCATCTGTTACTGGCAAAAAATGGAAGAAGAAGTATCTGGAAAGTAGGTTGGGGCTTTGCTAGACTGCTGCTTATATACTTAACGAATACAAATGTATTATATATGTATTTACAATATAAAAATAACCGAAATAGGTGCAGAATAAATCAGAAATTATATTAACTACTCACTTGAATCTGTAATTTCCAGCTCCATCGTTTGAGTTTTCATATTTGATGATTTTTGCTTGAACATCTTCAGGTAGCACTGCAGCGGTAGCAAAAGAGAAAAGAGCGCATAGAACAAAGAACATATCATATGATTTCATTTTTAAGAATCTATAGGTCAGTACGTTTAAATTTTACTACATTACAATGTGTAAATCGGTTTAGGTATCTTAGATACTGATGCTAACACATAAATGGACACGATTTTAAATGTTCTTGCTTATTATACTGTTAATTAACATGTCAATAACATCCATTTTATATTTATTAAAACACGATGGTTCGGTTGTAAATGCATATGAATATTACTAAACTTAAAACAATTTTATTAAAGTTCATAGGTAATTATATAATTACGAAATGCATTAAACAAAATTAAAAAGTGGTCTTTAATTACACCAGCAACCGCTTCCTATAGATACTTAAATAAGAGAAAACAATGGTGATCACGTAGTTTGTGAAAATAAAATTTCTGCAAAACCTGTTGTTTGACGCTTACTCAGACTTAAAACAGAGCGATCTTATTTAAAGTAAGATCGTTCTGTTTTAAGTTTAAGTTTGTTTGCTGTTAACTTTGTTCCTTTAACTTTATTACTGAATAAGAAAGTTATTTAATTCAAGACAAAACAACGAAACTAACGTTTTAAAATTCATTCTACACTTCGTACAATAGATTGATAAGTTTTAACTTACATTAAGTGGACAGTAATAATATACTAGATATTAAAGAACCACTAGATGAACTTTATAAACAGATAATAAAACCCTAGAAACAAGCAAATATAACTTGAAGGGGGTAAAACAGGCGATGTGATTGTATAAAATAAATTCTACTCAGACGTAATCGGCCTATTTAGTCATAAATATGTATGGTATATCTAATTATTTATTCCCTTCTTCTCTATATTCTTCTATCTATCTATCTACAATTAACTAAAAGCTACAGAAACCATACCAACTAGCCTTAGCCTAACCAAAGCGAATATAGCTACTTTAGATAAAACATTTCAAATCTCTACTTTATTATAGACTGATTATGTGCGTTTTATTATTAAATATCTTCAAAAGATTTCGAAGTTAATTAAGTTTAAAAACAAGAAACTAGTTTTGAGATTCCAGAGGATTCCAGTACAAACTAAAAACCGGTTCTAAAAATGTTGATTTTGTCCAAAAGTTATTTAACTATCTCACTGATACAATTTTTTTACAGCTATCCTATATCTGTGGCAGAGTGTTCAAATTTTAACTATGAAAAGCGTAGTTAAAAGCGCAACAGAAAAATAAACTCCCGTTCGAAATTGCAACATTACTTAGATTTTTATGTTGTCACAAAGTTTCAAAGCATTTCATTAATTTAATATACATATATTTTAACGTCTTTAACACAACTTTGCTAGGTACCGACTATGTGATGCCAATACATGGCCTCAGCTTAAGGTGCTTAACAATTTTAACAGCCTCCTTGACCTTTACGGTTTTATCCCGTGGGGCCATTCCATATACCAATCATAATATTATTACAGTTTCTATTACAGAATTATCTTTTAAGATTTTACTCCTTGGTGTATATTTACAAAATTCTTTCTGGGAAAATGTATTCATTTTGGACAATTTATCACAGAAAGGTATTCATACGAATGAAAGTTTAACAAACATAAAAAGACCCGGTACAATTGGCTTTATCACTATTTGTGATCACTTTTAGTGACTACTACTATTACTAATGTATAATTTATAAATCTTGGATAAGTTTTGTCCTCTGGTAAAAGAGAATTAAACAAATAATTAATTTTACATGTTCACCAATGCTATTCGTAGTCTTCCTTGGCTTAAGGAAATTACAGATTTTTTGTCTATCATAATTGTGTAATCATTTCGTAATCAATCATTTAATTGTGTAGACATTTCTGACGGGGTCACAGTTCTAACCTAATCTACTTTTCTGGTAGCTAGTCGTTTCTTAACGGGTCGCAATGCTAACCTAACCTTCTATTCTCGTTACAGCTCGTTTTCTGAGTTTATGGTTTTTATTTGGTTTAAATTCGTAATAATATAGGAGGAGGAGATAAAGGGTCTTGACAGACAGACAGACAGACAGACAACAAAGTGATCCTTTAGGGGTTCCGTTTTTTTTCTTTGAGTACGGAACCCTAAATAAACAATTTTGTACTTTTTTCAAAAATTACTTTTCTTTACATTTATATTGTATTCCAAATAACGAAAGCAATTACTTGCTTGCAGCGGAGGTCATAATATGTTATCAGAAAAGAGCAAAATTTGCAAAATAAATCTTTATAAAGTGTTACTAAGGATTCAATATTTACCATTTCCATTTTTATTACTATGACATCACAATACCGATCAAAATTCCAATCAAAGTTTGTACTAAGGAATGATTGTATCTCTTAGTGTATGATTGTGCGAACCAATTAATGACATAACGATGTAGTAAAGTTTAGGTGTCATTATTTAATATCATAGGCCAAACAATTGATTTATGATCTGTCACATGTTAGTGTTGAAACCACGTCTTGTATTGTTGAGCTTAGTAAAATGAAGATTTCATCGGTTATGTAAGTTGACGGATGAGACATTGGACCAAAGGTAACCGGCCCATCGGTGAATGTAAGACATGATTGGATTTCGCAGCAGTATTGCACACTCGCCTTATAAAGGGTAGGTATCACTCGTGTATGATAATTATACTGTATGCAACGTCAAAAGCGAGGTATTATGCGCATTTATTAAAGTGCAATTGATACTAATATGACGATTGCATCAGTTGACACGACGTTGTTACAAATGTAAATGATATTCATGGTTCAAAAGTTTTTAAAACTATAATCATAGTTGTAGAGTTGGTTACTTTTATTAGGCAATAGTCTCTATTATAATTCTGCATTACGCGATGAGAGTTCTCACGCTGATAAGTGCTTTGCTGTTACTATACAAGCACAATAAGTATAATTCTAGTCTCAAAATCAGTCTGGAGTCTGGACTCTCTTTATTTTATTAGAACGTCGAACCAGACCTTACTTATTTCTTGTATACTAATATACATCTATAACCACCTAATACCCGATGGCTTGGGCGGCTACTCTATAAACATCACTCAATGTATATATTATTATATCATCATCACCAGCATCTTCATCCCCTTTTTCCAACTTTGTTCATATCATAATGTACTATTTATTCGTCTGTTATTATTTTTAAAGCAATTAAATCTCTGCCATTAAAGCTCTACTATCTACCTATGAAATCTAAAATCATTAGAAATATTGTTACTTATTGTCAATTTTAGTAAGTGCTATTTTTTTAATTCTAAAATATTTATTAATTTCAGTGTAACGGGAATAGAAATAGAAACTGGGCTAAAAATATTTTTTAAAACACCATCTAGCGGCTTATACGAATATCAATACGATCTCTGCCTTTGTTAATAGTTTTTTACAAAATATGCAGCCTCACAGCTATGATTAAATGACTCAAGATTCAACAGTTCGTTAAAAGTTGTTCTCAATCTACATGCCTTAAGATAGATGGCTCTGCTGTTACCACAAACAAACCTGTAGAAGTGTAAATACCAGATCCCTTCCCCAGAAAAGGTTATTGTAATTGGAAAAAAATACGTGTGATATGGTAACACGTAAAACTATAAAAAAAATGTAGGTTAAGAGTTAGCTTGAAATGGCTTACATACGGAAAGTTTTAAAAACTAACAATGCTTATGAGAGAAAGGAAAACGAAAGAATTAAAGAAAAAGAGTGCCAGCTTGTGTTTAATAATAAAAATGTGAATAAGACGTGCAAATTGGCAAACGTTTGGAAGCTTTTTTGCCACATTCAGACACACAAACACGTTTAAATTCTGTAACCACCCTTTTTTTGTATCAGGCAGCCAGACAGTCTGAATAAGCAGGCAGTCACTATTAGACCAATAGAGTCGTCAGAAATGCTTCTCTTGACAATTGTGTCAAGAGAAGCATTTCTGACGACTCTATTGGTCTAATAGTGACTGCCTGCTTATTCAGACTGTAACCACACATTTTACGAAGGGTAATAACATCATTGAAATAAGTGACTGCAGTAAAGTTATGAATCGTAAAACGCATCGACTTTATGTTTGTTGAACATTTGATAAATGTTAATATAATTAAATTCTACCATTTTAAGACTCTGACAAATTGGAATGAAACACAATAAATATGCATAGTTTCCAATATTTCACACTAAGTGACACTGACATTTGAATGTTCCAGAATATTTTAATAAATTACTATTTATCTGTCTTCCAAATATTGAAAGAACATTTAATTTATAAGTTAGTCTCGTGCTATCACTATCACTTTCATTGAATCATTTGAGTAGTCGACCTTCAAAAAACACCAATTTTATATGATAATTTCTGACTATGTTTATAAAGTGTAATCAAATATGTGAGACACAAATTTCAATGAATTGCTGCAGTGCGTATTTTATAAGTCGATCTTTACAGCTCGAAACAACTTCTTAGGTAATTAATGCTTGTAAATGTAATTTCCACAAGTATGTCTACTTGGCCAGTGCATGTTTCGTAGGTTTAAATAGCCTTCATTATATAATACTAGCTGACCCGGCAAACGTAGTATTGCAAAACAAAAAAAAATTAGGGATGGGTCACCCTTACCATTTAGGGGTATGAAAAATAGATGTTGGCCGATTCTCAGACCTACCCGATGTGCACACGAAATTTCATGAGAATCGGTCAAGCCGTTTCGGAGGAGTACGGGAACGAACATTGTGACACGAGAATTTTATATATAAGATATATTCTGAGCGGATGGGAGCGCAACAGAAAACTGTGTAACAAGATTTTTATCCGACACATCAGTTCGCGTGTGGATGCTCACATCTTTTTCATTTTTATATAGCAAACGTCTACCAAAAAGCGAAAAGAACCCCCCCCCCTCCCCCTCCCCGTCCTCTTTTTATATGACGGTGATGGTTTCAAAGATTCATGGACTGTGATAAAAAGTATTATAACCCGAAAACAGTACCCAAAATGTTTCTCATTAAATATTGTTGATGGGAATCTCTATGGATTGTACAAACTTTTTTAAAATATACCTCACACGTCAGGCAATTCAAATACACGTATGTATGTTACCTCCTTTATATTTCCTTTAAATATTACTCTTAAATTGTAAATTGTTAAAACTAAGTTGCTGCGTTTATATTATATACTCGTACAACTTAAGAATACATTGCTTGAGACATAACCTGCTATGGAGCTTATATCGTTTGAACAATATATTTCGTTTTCAAGTTACTAAGCTTAAGCTTCTTCTCTGATTTTGATAAAGTCTTACCTAGTGATCTCTGAAGTACTTTACACATTTCCCTTTTCTTCCGAAGACTGAATACACCATATGATAAAACTCCGCTAATATACTGCATTTAAAGTAATTTAATTGCCTCAGATATAAATTAAAAGGAAATTATAATTCAAAAGGTTTTTCTAACGATAAGTGATTGTACTTGTACAGTTTACATATTTTACCTAATGTTAAAATGTCTGATTTATGTATGTATGTTAATCAAAGTTAATCCTGGAAAGACGCAGGTATGTGTAATTGGTAGCAATGGGTTGGTCTCAAGAATTAACTGGACACAATTGCCCTTAATTCAATTCGATTGCACTATACTTGGAAATGTTGGTATCTATATAGATAATACTTTATCTTGGGGTCCACATATACAAGAAGTCAGTCGTAAGTTATTTGCTTCTGTCGGGTCCCTGCGAAGACTGCGAAACTTTCTTCCAACTGCAACTAGGGCTGCGCTTGCACAAGCACTTCTATTCCCAATTCTCGAATATGCCGATGTCAGCTATCTGAATCTCACTGAAGCACAACTTGATAAGCTTGAGCGACTTCAAAATCTCTGCATACGATTTGTATTTGGGTTAAGAAAATATGATCACGTTTCTGAATTCCGTCAAAAGCTCAAGTGGCTTTCGATTCGCTCTCGCCGGAATACTAATATCCTCACTTTTCTTTATTACATATTGTTCAATCCTAGAGCCCCCTTTTACCGGAAAGAACGGTTCAAGTTCCTTGATGACACACTTGATAAATGTCTGAGGTCATCCGAGGATTTGGGGCTGGAGATGCCTCTGTATTCCACGAAAATTCTATGATCAATCTTTAGTTGTTGAAGCTGCATGTTTGTAGAATTCATTGCCGATAAACATCAGGCGATCGCAAACGATAAACAGCTTTAAGAGAATGGATCAGGAATTTTACAAACTTTGATTAAGTTAATTACGCGTCAAGGCATGATAAAAATGTTAGTTTAATTTTTTTCGTCTCTTTTATGTGATATACTTAACTAGCTATGTATTTATAAGTATATGTATATATATGTATATCGTATGTATAGGTGTATATTGTATATGTGTTTATGTGTAAATATTTATTTAATTTTACCATTGCACTTTCAACTACTACTGTCTCTCAAAAACATTTAAATCCATCCTAAGGTTGCCTGGAAGAGATTGCTCTTAGCAATAAGGTACCCTATGTAAGGTACGCCCTTTGTACATTACATGTCTGAAATTTTCATGTACCCTAATACTTGTAAAATTTGTGCAAATAAACAGTTATTTATCTATCTATGATGTTGGTCCATAAATAAATAGGTAAACAAAATAAATTTTATGCGTACATTTTTTACTAATAAAAATAAATCACAGTAGTAATTGTTACAAATTCTTAAGACTACGTGTACTTTTAGTCAGGTACTAGATTTTTTGCAGGTACATCTTTAATAGTGACAGTGTAAATTATCCTCGGAAGGCCTGTCCGAAAGGTTTTTTCTGGATTTGTTGGAAATTGGGCTGAACCTGCTGATTATAAGAAGGCTGGGGTTGTTGGGGCTGGGATTCAATGTACCGGAGAGCGCGGAGGATCTCTTCAGGGATTGGAGGAGGAGTGGGAAGATGAGCGCCTTGAGGTTGGAAACCTGGGAACAAACACATTCTATTATATAGATTATCATTATGTTTTCCAAATATAATGACTTAAGTAATCCAATCATCAACATAACAATATGACAACATAAAATACATCAAAGTGGATAAAGTTTTCTAATGAAATATACATCGGCAATAATCTTATAATCATTTAACTTTAAACGAGCAATCAAATATAAACTTAATACGTATAATACGTATATTTGGGTATCTCGGAGACGGTTTTAGTCATTTACATAAAGTTTACATTTAGATAAATAAAGTATAACTTTGAAATTTCATTTTAACGTTTGCTGAAGATTCTACCTGAGCTACCTGAAAAAAAAAACTAAAACTTACTCAATCTGAAGTTAGTGATAAAGTTATTAACGAATATCTTACCATTCTCGTCCGCAATGTATGTGAGAGAGATCGGAGTACCGTCGAGGTCAGTATAACTAAAGGAACCCTGAACGGCTATAGATGGTTCGCTGTTGGGTCCAGAACTCTTCAAAGAGCCTTGTTCTTGTGCGGCAATACCATTACCAGTCTCATAGCTGTAACAGAAAATAAAGACGCACTAAATAAATTATTAAAGATAGATATGGATATTAAAATATTCGTGATTGAGTTTATATCAATAAATATTTATTATTAACGTAATATATGTATACCTATAAGCATTTAAATATTGTATATTTTGTTTCATATAAATCTTTAGTATTAATTAGCAGTGGATAGACAGTGCTTACCATAAAACATCAGTACTTATTTATACTGAGATCTTGATTCTTAAATATTGCATCTTTTTACACTTGCATAATCTAATTTATATAAAAAATAAAATAAAATGTAAAATATATAATATAATAGTAGGCCAAAACCTTCTTTCTAAGGAGAGGCCTATGTCCAGCAGTGGACTACTAAAGGCTGTTGATTATGATGTATAATATAAAAGAAGATAATAATACTTGGATAATATAAAGTTGTCAAGGCTCTTTTTAAACATCTGGCTGAGTCAATAAAACGTCTGAAAAGTGTATGTGGGTAAGTAACATACATATGTATATTTAAAAACCATGCATTTATGATTGCCCAGGTTAAAACTACTTATTCAATATTTTATACGCTTTACTATACCTATAATAATGTCTAATCATCGTAGTCTAATTATTTTTTTATATGCAAAGTAAACCTTACAGTAGATGCACCATTACATAATATATAAATTAACATTATTATCAGTTAAATTTAAGCTAATATATCGCACATTTGGAATGAAAGTGAACTGAGTCAAAATGTTATTTCAGGCAAATGGCCATGAAAGTCTTCACAAAGGAGGATGTGGTGAAGAGCGTAAACAGATACTCGTAAATAGCATGATTTACGAAACTGACCGATGCATGAGCAGCAGATATTTCTTTTACTTATAATTTGAACTTTTTTCCTCACGTGTTTTTTATAGTAGTCGTTTACCAGATCTAGGAGGATTTCACTATGAACCTACACCTTAGGTTTATAGCTAAATCAGTAGCTCCAGGTATTTCCAGTAAGGTCATTTCAATTCTAAGAGACATTGAGTGTTAAAATTACAGATTTAGAAATTGAAATACCTGTATTCATAGGAGCCATCAGGGTTGATGTTTTGTTCTTGTTTTAGAATAGGAATCTCCTGGTTTGAGGGTGAGTACTGAGGCTGAGGCTGGTATTTTCCTTGAAACTGCGACGCACCGTAGGTGACGGCCACAAGAGCCGAGAAAACTAGAAACTGTAAAAACATAATAAGCATAGTATTTTATTCTTGAAAGATATCTGTTGAAGTACACCTAACAAAAAGTATGTTAAAGAATTAGATATTTTATAAATTGCTACAGAAAACCATTATCTTTTTTCTATTCAAGTTCTATTTTCAAAAATTAAGTTTGAATATTTTTCTAACATTATGCAATAATAAATAAAACTAAAAAACTATAAGCACTACTCCCTCTAAAACAGGAATGATTTACACATTTGTTGATGTTTTATAAGGTGTAATTTAAGTGACAAAGTAAACACTTATCTATATATATATATAAGAGATTTCCACGTATATAGTCACTCATCACGATATCTCTGTAACCATTACAGCTAAAGACTTGAAATTTGGTAGGAATATTCTTTTCACCGAGTAGAGGTTAGCTAAGAACGGACTTTAAGAAATTCAAAAAATAATAATAATTAATAATGTAAATAGCAAAACAACGTTTGCAGGGGCAGCTAGTATAATATATAACATATTTATAATTATCATTGTTTATACTTCAAACAAATAATATAAACTTCTAACTTGCTTCAGCTTTTGGTAAAAATAATGTAAATGACTATACAAGGTGAACCTTTCTTTTCATTATTATTAATTTAAAAGGTTTGTAGAACTTAAAGTAGTATAAGTAAGTAGTAGTAAGTAATTTAGAACTTATTTTAATAAATTTTCACGTATACAATTATATTTATTCTTAATAATTATGATATATACGTAATTATTTAAATTAATCATACTTATTCTAATGAATAAAAATTTATTAATGTATATAGTATAAGTAAATAGTTTTATGCCATAGATGAATGCGATTGAAACAATTATCCTAAAAATATTTACTCAGACTACTTACCGCCTTCATTTTTATTATTATAAAATGGAATAAGTGATGATTAGTAGTAGAAATACGTGGCGGGAATGATTATTGAAATCTACCGCTGCGGCTTTTATACGGGCCGGCGTTAGCGCAATACGTTACAATAATTTGAATACCGTAACCGCAAATAAGTGAAATATAAGTAGTATGCCCACACAATATTCGTTTACTTTAAGCTTAATGACGTCCTAAGCGTTTTATTTAGATCCCTAAAATCGGTGTTGGGGTTTTGGGTTAGAATTGTGAGTAATAAATAAATGAATCTAGGCTTCGAAATGAACATGTATAAATAACCAAATGAAGGTAACAATACTTCTAATAAAAATAAAAGCCCCGTTAAGGCCTAAAAAAAATCATTTGGTAACCAGAATTATTTTTTATGTTGGTATATAAAATACTTGGTATATAAAATAGTTGCAGTAGTATCATTATGTTCTTGAAATGCAGTTAACAAGCTCTAAGGGCTTCATCTTACTGTGAATCATGATGCATTCCAATCACAATTAATGGTTTTGTACTTACCTTCTCCAACATTTCAACTTTAACCTCAGTAAAAAACAAATAACTTATAATAGTAACTTTCGTATACTTTTTCTTATTCTTATTTATTTTGTGACTTAACTTTTTTCTTGCCTATTATTTGATAAACGGCCAAGTATGGTAACTACAGGGCTGCAGGAAGAAAATCTGTTTTTTTTATGGATCATAGTATGATGAAATTACGCGTTTAGGCTACGGACTAACAATTCATGCACACTTCTAAAGAATATAAGAGATTTGATTTGCTTTAGTTAGATTAGGTCAAGGTTAGTCGCTAAATTTAGTTTTAACGAAATTTAATTTGGAATAATTTTGGATTAGGTTGAGTTAGATTTGTATGAGTTTAAATTTAAAATAGCCAGTAATTAGTTTAAATATAATTAAATTAAAAGTATCTTTAAATTCACCCGAATTAATCACTGAAAAATATGCAAGTAAAATATTAGTGTCATCAATTAGTAAAATCGGTTAATGTCAATCATGTCATAAACCGCATTGAAAAATGAGGTTATCGAGTTAACATAATATGTTTAGTTTTTTTTATTACCAAATAATATAATATAATTAGATAAATCAGTGCTTCATGACAATTCAATTGAAACGATCATGCGTTGCATAGTAGGCCAAAACCTCCTTTCTAAGGAGAGGCCCATGTCCAGCAGTGGACTACTAAGTGGCTGTTGATGATTATGATGATGAACGACCACAATTGCCATATCATTTGTTGTGGATATTTCTGCGTTGATAGACGTCATAGAAAAGTCATCAGCAAAATTTAATTGTAGATTAACTTTGTCTTACTGCAATAGACACAAATGTAATCTACTTGTTAGAGCCTATTATTCATTTACAGAAATTATTAATAAATTAATACTAATAACTTGACACGTCGCACACACAGCCAGATTCCAACGCAAAACTAAGCAGAGCCTGTACTATGGTAATCAGACTGCTGATTACTTGTGTATGATTGATGTACCTCTAAATAAAGGGTGTCTCAGCAAGAGTGCAATTTTTCATTTTAAAATAAAAACACTTATTTTATGAAAGAGTTGTGATATTTTTACTGAGTTGCAGACGTTCATGGGCAGCGATAGTCACTTTCCATCAGGTGACCCGTCTGCTCGTCTGCCCCCTCTAACATAAAAAAAATTGTAATGAAAACATGTTCCGATTAAGCATTTAATAAAATATCCGGCAAATGGCGCCCACGTCTCTGATGACAGGCCATTACTCATTTCATGTAATTTTCCATGACTTTTACACAGAGATGTGGCTGTATCTCACCGATGACGCGTTGGATCTCTGATTTGAGCTCAGATATTATTGCTGGTTAATTCGCATAAATTTGAAATTTCAGTAAAACGCAAAGAAAAAAATCGTACGGCGATATCACACAGTCTTGGTGGCCAGTTGACATCAGAATTTCATGAGATAATGTGTTCTAGAAATAGTTGATGTAATAAGTCGATTGTTTCATGCGCGGTGTGGCTGGTGGCGCCGTCCTGCTAAAACCACATGTTGTCCAGATCCATGCCGTCCAATTGAGGCCACAAGAACTCCGTTATCATATTCCTGTAATGATTCCTCATCTTCCCAATTCTTCATCTCGGCCCAATCACGCCGCCTGACCAAAATCTACACCAGACAGTTGTGGGTGCATTTGTTTCTCATGGATTGCATGAGTATTTTCTGAGCCCCAAATTCGACAATTTTGTGTATTCACGCAGCCATTCAACGGAGAAGATGACTTTTTTCGAAAAATTAGCATCGACTTCACTTTGCTCCATGGTCTGCTGGTATGAGCTCCTGAGTTAGCTGAATCTTGTATGCATGAAAGTGCGTAGTGCTTCGTGAAATTTAAAGTTGTTGAGTACGATGCCGAATTGATGTTTTCGGGTTTTCGGTGACACTCTCGTTTACAGCATCAATGATTTCAAGAGACTGACCGATACGTTGACGCAAAGGATTCTTAACTTCCATAATCGACCCAGGTTCTTAAAATCTTTTTACCACTCTTCGAATGGTTGACACATTAGGTGCACTTTCTCGACTGAAAATTTGGCGAAGTTTGCGAGCGGTTTCAGCGTAACTTTCCCCATTCTTGTAATGAGTTTTCACAATTATAACGCGTTGTTCTTTCTTTCCAAAAACGCTCTATTTTTAATAATCGGAATAAACACAGGTGACAGCTGTAAAATTTCAGAGTTGCCACTTGCACGAAAAAAAACTGACTCGAATTTTCAAATGTGCACTCTTACGGAGACATCCTTTACAGACATATCATAGATCAATTACACCCAGACAAGGAACAAATGATCGTACGCATCACACAATATTCGTCCTAAGTGGGAATCAAAACCCTCTGGCTTAGCAGCAAGGTTAGCAAGGTTAAGGTAAAACCACTAAACCAACAGGCCCCTCAACAAAATATTAGAAATTAATTCTCATCGTATTTCATTGAGATTAAAACAATTGGTAGGTGTTTAGTACTTATTAGAAAATAGCAATACGATGTGGGGGTCGATGCTCAGTTTTGCATCTAAAGGATTAACTTAACTTCAATCAGTTATCTATTGAATGTTAGGTTTGTAATGTCATTAGGAAACTTCGTGTTTGATATTTTGATTAGAAGGGCTGCAATTTCATAGTAATATATGCAAATATTTTCTTATCAGTTTGAAATATTATTATAAATATTATCTTAGAAGGTTTCGTCATTTAAATAAAGTAATGAATATTTTTAAAAATATTGACTTTGCACTTACCGCTCTAATTGCAAAAGTTCAACAATTTAGATTGTGATCTTAGTGTGATTTTAAATATAAATACATAAATTATATTGGTAATGGTAAGTACGTGTAATGTTTATGAATATATTATTACAGCTGTACAACCTTATACCTAATTATGAAAGGCTGTCGTATATAACAAAGTTTTGTAGTTTTGTGTAAGTTCTAGGATGAGAAGTTTTTTTTTATCATATATTCATAGAAACTTCACACAATGAGAATTTTATTTGTTACCTCGGTGTTTTCCTTTTTTATTCAAATGCATCCAAGATCGAATATCTTTAGTAAAACTCTGGCAATCTTTTTTATCACAAAATGTCTTGAAAAAAAATATTTATTTATTTACTCTTAATTGTACACCATGGAAGTATTATATATACAGATATTAAATACATTTCTGTATAACAATAGGCGGTCTTATCACTCACGGCGATCTCTTACAGACAACCTTTATACTTATATTGTCAAAAAATTAGGGTAGCCTGGGATGTACAATTACAACAAATTGAAAAAATAAATAAAAAATACTAATAAGAAACATAAGGTTACTAATATATACGTTTACAGTATATAATACATACAATTAATAAAATTAAATACATACAACATATATAAATACATACAGGCAGAATTACATAAATACACAAATTCCTCTATGATGCCAAGTAATGATTAGTGACTAGCTTTTTAAATGTTTGCAGTGATTTGGCTTGCCTAATTGCTTCCGGTAGATTATTCCACAGTAAGCCGAATATGAATCTGATGCAGACATTTTGGAGACGCTCAAGTTTATTTAATTGGTCTTCGGAGAGATCTAGATAGCTAACATCACCATAGTCCAGGATGGGAAAAAGAAGAGATTGTGCTAGGGCGATTTTTGAATCGGTAGGAAGAAAGTTACGAAGTCTTCGCAGAGATCCCGCTGCAGCAAATAGTTTACGACTGACCTCACCAATCTTGGGGGCCCAGGACAAGAACTTATCCATATAGATTTCCAAGTTCTTTACTTTGTCGCTATACGGAATAATGGACCCATCGCAACTGATAGCTGGCACTTGTTGCCAATTTACTGTGGAGCTCATCCTAGGACTACCTAATACAATTACATGAGTTTTAAATGGATTTACTTTTAGGCCATACTCCTTACTCCATTTACATATTTGTACCAGATCCCTGTTAATGTCGTTGATAGCTTCAGATAGTATAGCCGGAGAAGCTTTGGTATAAATTTGGAGATCATCTGCATGAAGGTGGTAGGAAGAAAGTAAGCGATCAGTGATGGAGTTGTGAAACACTGCGAAGAGTAATGGGGATAGCACGCCGCCCTGAGGTACGCCCGCAGATGTTGTGCACCAAGAGGAATAATTATTTTCAATACAAGCACGCTGCTGATGACCGTACAGGTAGATATAAAACCAGTCAATTGCTGTTGGAGATATGTTAAGAGAGTGCAATATTCCGAGCAAGATATCAAAATCAACGGTGTTGAAAGCGTTACTGAAATCAAGCAAGGCAAGGACCGTTAACTTTCCTTCCTCCATGTTGGACCTGATATCCTCCGTAATATGAATAAGAGCCGTGGCCGGAACGAAAGCCTGATTGGAGAGGATTTAGGAGACAATTTTTTGTAAGAAATGAATTAGATAAGACGTG